CACTTCACTGATGCTCAGCCAAAAAATACATTCAGATCCATTAGCCAAAATCAAACGCATATCTTCACTTTTATTTTTAATTTTACAGCAGATAAAACAAAAGCAAATGAGGGTCATTGCTGAGTGGATTATTTGTCTGAGTTACTGTTTTATCCACGCTATGCAGAAAGTTAACTTTTAAACAGACAAAGGAATCAAACCAAATTCAAATCCGGCAGAGAGCTAGCGTGGCATCGGCATTGCAATGAGTGCTGCAGCTTTTGGTCAAATTTATATATAATGTTTGATGTTAACATTGTATGGAAAGGTTGAACGCTGGGCTATTGGCTGTGTTTGAAATAGTCTACTACATGCTGATTGTGCCCAAACATAGCAAGCAGTATGCAGTACACAATCAATGATACAAGTGTGATGGGTTTTGCAATTTTTTTTTATTATTATTGCTAGAACCTTATGTGAGGGTGTGAGGTAACCCGGATTTATTTGAAGTCTACAGACCAGGGCAAGAGAGAGAAATGCTTGCACCAAGGATGCTTCAGAAAAGGGAATTTATTGGCTAAATATCAAACTACTTTTGGACTACATTCAATGATAAACAATAGAAAATAAAACCAGAAAACAAAACAAAACAAAGTGATAGTAATGAAAAACAAAATAGCTTGAGTAAGTTAGAGTGATTCACGGCTAAATGGTATGAGGCAGTGTGGTCTGGGAAGTCGCTTGGGAGAGCCTCTAGAGAATTAACCTAAGCATGGACGGGAATAACTATATGGCTGGATGTACCTATAAAAAGTTCTCTTATTAAATAAATTGGCGTCAGGGCCCTGACTGCAAATTGATGGAACCAGCTTACGTTGGAGTCGGGGGCTGACTTCAGGCGGGGTCATCTCAGGACAGACTTGATCGAAGGCTAGAGCTCACATGGTGGTTCCAGCCTTTCGATGGTCGATCTGTTCACAGATCAGTGCATGGCTCTGGGTGCGATGCTGGGTCTCCGTGGCGTCAGAACCGCTCCCACTCCGCTGGCGAGGTTCAGGTTGCAATCAGGGTTCTGAGGCTGGTGATACTAATTTAACTAACTATCTCTCTTTAGTAGAATCGAAAGTTATGGATATATTCTCCCTGGTCAGACAAGAAATATCCACCTTCCTTCTCTGAGGGTGGTTCAAACTTAAGGTGTGTAGACGAACAGGCAAGTTACAAAACAAACAAAGGTTTCAGATCTGAAAATGTAGCGTTCTAATACTTAATGTAGCGTTCTAATACTTCCTGTCTTTCTGACCAAGGCCGGCACAAACTTAGAAACTTAGCTATCCTTTTGTTGCGACGCAGGAATCTGAACTGAATTTTGCGGTGCACTCTGGTTTTGCTCGGCTGGAGGCCCTACGCTTTGGAGGTGGAGCCAGAGTGCTGATAGGTTCTCCTCACCTAAGGTTACTAGCTGCTCATTGTTTCCAACTCTGATTGGTTGTGCATAAATTTAGGAATGCCTTCCCCAGAATCACTGCCTCCTTTGTTTCAGCTAGTTTAAACAAAGAAAAAGAAACATTTCTATATCATCAAGTTGGTTTAACTTTCAAAATCAAGGAATGAACAACTAGGATATTCAGGCATGTTTCTAAGAGAGAGTTTAACCCTTGTTACCTGATACACAACACATGTCAAAGAACACAGGTACTATTTGCCTATCATATCTGAACATGACCCATTGCATGAAAAATAAAATTGACAATAAAAGGAAAGGAACAAAGGAAGAAAAGAAAAGACACACCAAACCACATTCAGGATACATATTGGTCAATGGTCTAAACTCACAGCAGTTAAATGGTTGGGTCTGACTGTTATCAAAGTTATACTCTATGTATTTCTAGCGCTTAACAGTAGAAAAAGATACAGGTAATATTTAGGTACTACCCAACAACAAGATTAATACAACAAGTAGTATTGCTTACAGATTGTATAAATGTTGATAATCAAGCAGACAAAGCAAAGCAAGTTTCTTGGGTTCCTTATAAGCACAAGTCCTTACGGTGGTGATGTGGTAATTTGCGGTTTCACCCCTTGGGGGTGCTGTGGGTCCATGCTTGAGATCCCTAGGGAATTTAGAAAGTTGGAATTTTGGTGTCCAAAGTCGTACGAGTTCCGTTTTTGGTATGTCTAGTTTAGTTAAAAAGAGTTCTAACGAATGGTTTGGAGTGGACATATACCTTAGAAATGTACTTTCTGTTACTTAAAGATAAGATTGTCCACAGGACTTTGGAGGGCCATGTGGCCAATATTCCAGGGAGGCGTTGTCCTGTTGCCCTCTAGGTCAAGGGAGAGGGGTGCTGGTTCTTGATTCAGCTGTAAATCTGACTGAGTCTGGGGTTGGGGGGTGTTAAGCCGACAGATTTACACCTCAATTCCAGACTTGCTGGAGCCAAAAGGCCCTTAATTTTGGGTTGTTGATATGTTAGAAACACTAACCTAGGGGTAAAGTTTCAGCCAGTGTTTGTTACACATGACTTTCTTTAATACAACAAAGATACCCGGATGATGTATTAATCCGGTAAACATAAATTGTGCAATGGAAGATGGACTATAGTTAGCCTGTCTCAAGTATCTGCATTTTTTCTTTTACACCACCCAGAATATCCAGAAACCAACCACTCATTGAAAGACAAACTGCACAGCAACAGAGGAGTTATAGTCTAACTGTGCATAAGCAAGGTGTTTCTAATAAAGTGGCTGGTGAATGTATAAAAGATAATCAAAGATAAGCTACATTACAGAAAGTACCTGCTTTGGTGCAATTTCCTAGGTGGTAAAAAGAGGGAAATCAAACAAAGTTATCCAAGTACAGCGCATAAATGCAAAAAGAGAGAGGAAAGTAAAAAAGTGCTGCTTCACTCCCAAAGCTAGCTTAATTTTTTTCAGTCAGAACAGAAATATACACATCCAAAAGTATCTTCTCTTCTAATTAGTGAATTCACTTATTTTAAAGTGCATCCATTGCTGACACAGGAGTTCAACTGTGCATACACAGCTCGTTTAATCTCCATAGTAAAGCAATGCCAATAGAATTGAACACTCTGGAACAGCCAAATATATGCCTAATATCACTGTGCTCAATGCTAGAGGAGTACAAAGCCCCCCAGCATTGGGGTGAGGAGCCATGGATCTACGTTCTCTGGAGTGGAGAGAGCTCAAACCAATACCTTTGCACTGCATTGGAGAAGCATTTGAGATCCAGAACTTATCGTCCAACATTAGAGTCTGACCTCACTAATGCTCTTGTGGCCAAAAACAAATCCTCACAACAATGTTATAATAACTAGTGTAAGCTAGTTATCTTTATTATTTTATACATGTCAGCAAACCTGAAAGTGGTTCTACTTTGGCATCATACAAGAACCTTTTCTGGCAACTTTATTTTTAAGACCTTATCAACAGCCTGCATGTTTCTGCCCTGCATATACCTGGCCACCACAAATGTGTTTTAAAAATACATTTTTAGGCCGAAACCTTAACCTAGAACTACCATAAAACAATCTCAGTCTCAGACCTAGTATTTGTAGCGATTTCGTGTTAGAACTTTCAGTGAGGTAGATCCATCGGACGTCTAATTCTTATTTTGTGAACAATTCTGAATCAGGAAGTTTCTTCTCTAGAATGGGACATTTCACATTACACTGATATGCCATGGGATATCAGTATGTAAATTGATATGAAATGGTGTGACCTCAGGGGGCAGCTTGGGAATGCCCACACCTGTGTAAGTTGTGAGGTATTATCTTGTGAGTGAGGTCGAACACTCGCCATCGTGCGCATGACAAGGCAACGTGAATTATCAAAGGCATGATAGTGGGTGCCAGACAGGTGGGGCATTCCATTTCCGAAGTTGTGAGGGCATTTAACATTCCTCGATCCAGCATCTGTCTAGAATTGTTCGTGTAAACAGGCAAGTGACTCCGGCAGAAATCACATCCACATTCAATGCAAGAGGCCTCACATGCATATCCCACAGGTCAGGGCAGCGTTCTTTAGCTTCCATGGATTGTGGGAGCAGAAGACCCACTAGACTGCCTCTGTTGACACCATGACACCTGGGCTTAGGAGGTTGCTAACCGGACCCTAGAGGACTGGCAACATGTGGCGTGATCCGATGAGTCATGGTACCAATTGCTTCAGGCTGATGGTAGGGTTCATGTGTGGTGCAGACCCCATGAAGCCTTGGACCCTAGTTGTCAATAAGGCACTGTGCAGGCTGGTGGTGGTTCCATACTAGTGTGGGGTGTCTTCTCATGGCATGGGTTGGGTCCACTGGTCCACCCATACACATCATTGACTGGTTCATTGCTTGGTGAGCATTTGCAGCCCTTCATGGACTTCATGTACCCCCACAATGATAGGATATTCCAGAACGATAATGCACCGTGGCATTGAGCCTAAGTTGCCCAGAATTGGTTGGAGGAGCTTTGTGGAGATTTCTGAGGAATTATGTGGCCTCAATCTAGCATTTATAGGATGTGGTCCATTTTTTACGCTGAGCGGTCCATTCGCATCCGAGATCCTGCACCTATGAATACCATGGTGCTATGGATGGCTATCCAGATGGCATGGCTCAACATCCCTCAAGACATTTTCGTCCACTTGTGGAATTTGATGTATTTTGCCAGGCTAGACAGGGTCCTATATGATATTTGTTTCTGTCCCATTACTTTTGGCATGTGGCAGCGTAAACCAATAGTCTTTGTTAAAACAGTTTTGAAGAATACCCCTTTAATGATAAATCAGTGCCAAGGCAAAAAAGTTTTAAATGAAAATTGACATGAAATAACATGTAAATATAATAAGAATGGTCATAACCTTTCAAATTTTCTCCTTACACATACATGTCTGCCTTACTGTCTGTTTTAGCAGAAGCAAAGAAGTAATGGATTCTCAAATTGCACAGATCACTAAAAAGCTTAAAACAGCTGAGCAGATGAAAGACCAAACCAAGCTTGTGATGCAGCCTTATGCCAGCTGGGAGGACTGAGTACCTGACTCCTGCACCGGTCTCTATAGCCATCCTGGGAGAGCTGGTCTTCATCTCTTCCAAAACAGATTTCTCTATCAACAAAAACCCACCCAAGGATGGCTACAAGTACATTAACCCTATCAACCTTCATGACGGATTTTGCGTCACAAATCACACCTTGTCATCTCAGCTTTATAACTCAGGAATGCTTTACCGCAGCAGTTCACTACGCATATAATTAGAAACTGCGGAGTCTACCGTTTCTAAAAACAGCAGCGCCGTCGTGGTCCGACGAAGCATCTGTGAGTAATCCGCTGTGGAAAAACAGTAAAATAGACGCTCCTTCACAGTTTCTGTTTTATTCTTCTAGTAAATCTAGTAAATAGTTTCTGTGCTGATAAACTCTGCATTTCGCTTTATTTCCACTACTGTTATTCACTATAGGGCTTCTGAAATGTTTACACGGTGTTTCAGATCTAATGTCTGATTAGATGAGTCAGTATTATCGACCGAAAACGCCTCTCAGCGCCTCCGCCGATTAGCCAGCTCTGAAGCTGCGCACCTCTTGTCAGTGTTCCTGCTGTGTTTGTGCACCCCGTTGCTCCTAGCATTGGACACGTGCACACGCATCTAGAACTGAAAAGATGCACGCACACCTTCAGAGTCTTTTGGTGTCCATCCAACACCGCTGGACTGATACAGATTTCAGGTTTATATTATGGTACAGAGTTCTTTATTGTGTGTTTTCTAAATAATCCAGTATTTATCTGATCATTTCTGGAAGGATTCTTTATTATAGGAGTAATTGTTATTATAAGCAGCTGATAATAAACACCCAGTATACTAAAACAGTGTTGTATTAGCTGGAATATTAGCCATATTGGCCCTGAACAAAAAACTCAAAGGCTTGACCTGCTGTGTCAGTCTGTCACATGCAGTTTTAGCAATCTGCATGTCTCCTTTAGGTGAGAATATCAAGAAAAATAAGTCCGCCTGATGCTACTCATATACTATGTCACAGTAATAAGCCATGTAATGAACAATCACCAAAATTCTTATATTTTCAACTCGTAGACACTTTATCCTAAAACTTTCTAATTGACATCTAAGCAGTGCAGTGATGTTTTGAATAGATACAGTCAAAAATAAGTACAGGCGCTTGGTAAAATTTTGATCAAAACATGTCCAGTTTCATCCCTGCGATGGACTGGCGACCTGTCCAGGGTGTATCCTGCCTTCCGCCCAATGACAGCTGGGATAGGCTCCAGCACCCCACCGCGACCCAGAAGGATAAGCAGTTTAGATGATGGATGGATGGATGGATGTCCAGTTTCATAAAAATATCAAACTTCTGTGGGCATTTACAACTCAGGTGATTACATATTTGAGAAGCCACATGTCTTCTTAAAATAAAACAACATATAACATGTGGCTGTCTCATATAATTACTAGAGTTACAACAACTGAAAGAGGAACTGACAAAAACGGGGGACACCTAATAGTGCTAGGGCTCTATGGGTTAAATACCCAGATTCATTTTGTGCCTGTCTCATGCAAGTGTGTAACTCTGGCTGGTGGGCTTTCAATGAGGCCCACAAGAACATGGACCAGATTCGGCTCCACACCATGGCTGTTCCAGACTATATGAAGACTGCTGTGAACATATTGTTCCAAAGTGATGATGAGGTTGTTAAAACCTTCCTCCCTGACCAGCTGGAGAATATTTGTGTCATTGCAGATGACTGTATTGATCTGGCTAATAAAACAGAAAAGCGGTTCACCAATGTCATCAAGATTATCCACGAGCTGCTGGAAGCCTGTATAAATGCTGAGCACTTTCATGGAGAAGAGCTGGAGGTAATCAAGAAGAAGCTAGAAGAGACCAAACTGAGAGAACACACTTCAAAAGAAGCCAATGAACGTTTGGAGAAGGCAGCAAAGGCCATGGAGAAGGAACTGCAGGAGGCACGAGAGAACTACTCCAAAGCACTGGACTCCCTGCCTTGTAGTTGGGACATGATTGCTATGAACTTGGGTGGTAGAACAGCTGATGGAATCGCCACTATGCCGAATGGGATGACAAGTGTAGTGGTCAAAACAGTTGATACAGGTCTTGAAAATCCACAGATGGACAATGGTGGAGATATAATTGATGAAATAAACATCTACAGCAAGTCTGCAGAAATACTAACATATACACAGAATATTCTAAAGAATGTGCGGGAGAACAAAATTGACTGGAAAAGCCTGTATGATCAGAAGAACAAAGCTACAAAAACAGAGCTTTTGAAAAAACAGCTCACGACAATCAACACTAGTATTGAAACAATCCCAGAATGTAAACCGAAAAAGCAGGCCTCAGAGTTATGCAATGAGGCCATTAACATCTGCAATGAACTGGCAAAATATGCACCAGATGGGAAGTGCGAAGAAGCCAAAACAGTGGAGCTGATCAAGAGAATCTGAAAACTGACTGAATCAGCCTGCAATTTTGACTGCAAGAGCAAAGATGCTACAAACATTCCTTCCCTGATTCCAAAACCACCCATGATGGCTAAGGAAGAAAGTTAATCTGAGATGCAGTGCTCTTCAGAACGAGCAGCAGAGAATGCCAGGTTTTGCGTTGAACAGAGCCGAGCTCAACTGGACAAGACCAGAGAGATCTATGAGAAGAGTGTGGAGAACAATAGTACAAAGAATAGTACAAAGACAAAATATCATGTTAAAACTGAAACATTTTATTATTAATTTTTTTAAATATAGGCCCATTTTGAATTTGATACCAATAACACATTCCAAAAAAAGTTGGGATGGGGTGGTTGATTGGTAACAGGTCAGCAACATGACTGGGCATAAAAACAGCATCTTAGAGAGGCTGAATCTTTCAGAAGATAAAAATGACTCCACTCTGTGAAAGACTGTGTGATCAAATAGTGCAACAATGCAAGAATAACTTTTCTCAACATAAAATAGCAGAGAACTTTTGCTTTTCATCATCTACAGTACATAATAACATTAAAAGATTCAGAGAATCTGGAGAAATCTCTGTATGTAAGGGACAAGGCCAAACACCAGTATTTGCTGGCCATGATCTTTGGGCCCTCAGGCGGCACTGCATTAAAAATAGACATGATTCTGTAGATAAAACCACTGCATGAGCTCAGGAACACTTCTAAACACCAATGTCTGTGAAAACAGTTCATCTCTGCATCCACAAATGCAAGTTAAAACTCTAAAATGTACAACTGTACATTGGAATAGTGCAATACTAGTGTATATTGTGTATATGTGTGTATTCAGAGTCAGTGTATATATATTTCTTTTTCTTCTTAGATATGTTTTTTGTATTTAAATTCTACAAGGGGGCTACGCACCTAAGATTTTCACTCACTTTCCACCTGTGTAAATGTGATGTGACAATAAACATGATTTGATTTGATTTGATTTGATTTGATTAAAACACAAAGAAGAAGTCATATATATAAAAGAATCCAGAAATACTGCCACCTTCTCTGGGCCCGAGGGTAAGAACCTCTTAAATACCAAAATTTAAAGTTTAAAGATCAAGTCCAAGTTTGGTAGATCAGAGGTTTCCTAACTTTTTGTAGCCCACAAGACCTTTCACACTTCGCAAGAAGATTTAACCAGCCCAAATGTTTCTAATGCTACAGAGTACATCACAATAATCAGTGAAGACTATCAAAAAATCACATATCACAATAAACACCAAAACATTTCTGTTTATAGCCATTTCTCTATATAGTTCTGTAGGTCTATGGGTCATGTATTTTATTGATCATTAACTGACCTTGGAATATTTCACTATTTTTTATGTTTTATTATTATCATCATTATTATTATTTTTGAAAATAAAGCATAAATAAAATGAACTATCACAACAATAATATTTGTCATATTTTAAATAGTTGGTCTTGTTTACTGTCTACATTCTGTACAGGAAAACTAAAAACAAAACAAAAGGACTGCCCACACCTCCCTAGCAGTATGACCAGTTGAAAACCATTGTGTTAGATGATCAGTTCTTGGTTTGTTTGATTTGGTCTCTGCAGAATTGTTTATGGCACATTACACTCAGAAGCAGCAATTGAAATAGAATAGAAAATAGAAATGGCAATAAAAATGCATAATATATACCACTCAGAAACATATATACATCATTATTTTTGATATTTTGTAGGACTGTTCCTTTTAGACAAGTGCCGGCGTTGAGATCCCTCAGTATTGTAACAGTGATGTTAATGTAAAGGTACTTATCCCTACTGTACATGCTCTATGCTCATTTGAGGTGCTGGGTATGAGAATATTGCATCACAGTGCTGCACAGACTCACAGTCAGCACTGCATGTCAAACACACTTTTATTGGAGTGTGCTCCAGTGCTGTACAATAAACTAAACGCTTGATATGACAATAATGTGCATTTTTCAACATCTAAAAACATAGCTGGCTGAAATCCTTTCCTAGCTGCTTTCAATGATTGTGCCTGAATTGGTTGTCATGTGAATTAAAAGCTAGTTTTAACTACTTTACACTGCTTAAATAATTAGCCGTTGAAAAACATGAAATAGAACTTTTAACAATAGAAGATTATTATCAAACATATTTGCCTTTCAGTATTTGATTGACTTTGTAAATATAACACAGGGTAAACAAAAACACATTTAGACATCAACTCAGTATTAAAATGATGACATTATGATGAACATTAAATTCATCACTATAGCTTGAAAATATACATGGAATGCCCTCATTTTACCCCACCTAACCTGTCTTTATAAACATTTTGTTGTGTATCATACATAGACTGCCAATCTCATGATCTCATGACTATTGTCAGAATGTAATAAGATGTTTTCATGTGCTAAGATATCATTTTTTTGCAGTGTGGGCAAAGTTTTCAGTAAAAAAAAAGGCTTAGCAGGTGAAAGATTTTAAATCTAATCAGCACATCTAAGATTTCTCATACTGAGACTGTTGTAAGAATATTTGACTAGATATTTTGCATTTGTTTAAGTCATATTTTTCTGTATGATAGTGTGACACTGTGGACTTAGAGAGTTGTGAGGGATCCATTTGCAGGTTAATGAAAAACAGGGCAATCTAACACTTGTAGTAAAAGAGGCAGAGCAAAAATGTTATAAAAGTAAATCAGTCCAAAGACTCAGGCAGCGATACCAAAAGGACAGAAGACTGAAGACGGACTCCAAAAAAGCCAGACAGAGGTTCCAAACACAAAAGGGTTAAACAATACAAACGCTCAGTAGACAGACTCAAAAGGACTGACAATACTTTGCACCAACTGGCTGAGTTTGGGTAGTATTTAAGGTGAGACTGTTTAGAGAAGGAATGAGGTGCATGTGGCTTGATCCTGGAAGCAGGGCTAGTAGAGAGAGAGAGAGAGACCTCTGGTGGACAGATTGAGAACTACTGACAATAAAGTTGACTAACTAACACTGTCATACATTTCTAAACATGAACAACACAAGGTACACTAATAATAATGCTTAACTAATAGTAAGTAAACAGTTAACAGATGTTAACGAAACCTACAATACAAAATTAACCAATGCAGTTGTTACTTGCTTGCTTAATATTAATTAGCCATTATTAATGCAGTACCTGTGTTGTTCATGTTAACAAATGCATTACTTAATATTAGTTAGACAACGTTTTTTGTAAAAAGTGTAACCAGGTTACATTTTATTCCTCTCAACATCTATAACAAATGCTCCTCTCTCAGGCACAGTCATATGGTACTGTTCTCTCTCTCCTCACAGTGTAGGCTGTTCATAATGATTACTAAGCTATTTATCTCAGGACTTTTTATCATTCTTACGGATACACACACCAGATAGGGTTTTACATGTTTTCTAGTACTTACATGCTGTCTTTAAAACAGATTTTATTTTAATAGTGCTTCAGCAATCAGTGTCATTTCCATTATGTAATTATTCTAGGGGTTCTACTTTTAATCTTTTGTTAAAAAGATGTGACAAAGAAAGATGTGAAAATTCCTCCTTGTACTGTAAAATATGGCTTTTCAGATTTATTCAACTTAAATGAATACCTTAAGTGATGAAACAGTGCAAAAAGTAACATTTTGCTCCAGTTCAAACTCCAAAAAAACACAGTTTAGGTTGCTGGAAGAGATGCAACCTGACCATTCTAAGTATTATCTCTCTTAATATTTTTGATTATTTGCATCCATATTATAACCTCAAGAAAGCCAAAGCAATGATATAAACCCAGAGAAAGAGACAACACAGTCATGGGCAAGACAGTTAAACTTAATCATCTGTGGAAAACCTCTTTGAAACCATTATTTCAGGAAATTGTCCAGGTTTCAGTTTATGTTTTTGCGTTTAACTTTGAAAACTGTTTTCTTTTTGTTTGTGTTTCCCTTTTCAGATAAACATGAGTGAAATCTGTCCATCTGAGTAAGTATTATTGCTAGCATCTCTAAGAAATGTAAACAAAAACAGAATATAATGATGTTCAAATCATTTAAACCTTATAAACCCTAATTGAAAATAGTAAAAAAAAAAAGGTAACATATCAAATGTTGGAAGTTGTTTATTGAATATGTGCCCCTTTTGAATTTGATTCCAGCAACACATTTCAAAAAGTTGGGACAGGGAATGTTTACTAACTTCACTGTGTTGCATCAGCTCTTCTTTTAACAACACTCTGTAAGCGTTTGAGAACTGAGGAGACCAATTGCTGTAGTTTTGTTTTCCCATTCTTGCTTCATATAGGACTTCAGCTGCACAACAATTTGGTGTCTGTTTTGTAATTTGTTCCATAATTTGCCAAATATTTGCAATGTATGACAGGTCTGGACTGCAGACAGGCCAGTTTAGCACCCACATTCTTTTACTACGGAGCCATACAGTTGTAACATCTGCAGAATGTGATTTGGCATTGTCTTGCTGAAATAAGCAAGGTCGTCTCTAAAAAAGATGTCATGTGGATGGCAGCACATGTTACTCCAAAACCTGGAAATATCATTCAGTATTAATGGTGCCCTCGCAAATGTGCAAGTCGCCAATGCCATGTGCACTAATGCAAACCCATACAGACGCTGACTTTTGAACTGTGCGTTGCTAACAAGCTGGGTGGTCCCTCTCATCTTAAGCTTGCAGGAGGCAGCATCAATGATTTCCAAAAAGAATTTAAAATCTTGATTTGTCAGACAACAGAACACTTTTCCACTTTGTCTCAGTTTAAATGAGCTTGGAAGCAGAGAAATCGTCACCATTCATCCAATATGCCCCAGGTTTGTAGGCATCAATTAGCATCATTTTCAGATCTTCAAAAGCCAGTTGCTTAGAGAAGCTCATGCTTGTGATTGGAAGCACAAGGTTTGAAGAGTGAGAGAATTATGCTCTGGAATAGTTATCAGCAGAGAGATCATACAGACAATTTTTGACCTGCCTACCCATCCAA